ACTTGGGACCAAAGCTAACATCTCTTTGATATGGCTTTCTTCAAGGAGGCATCTGTTTGAGTGGATAAAGGAGATGCAGAGAACCTAAAGAAAGTCTTTAGGGAGGTAGGTGGGGTCTCCAGAAAATGCGGTCGCTCGTTTTTGTGCCATTACGTGTTTGGCTTGGTTTTCTTACAGTTGTTTCTGTTAATTATTTTTCATTTCTCAGTTATGTGAAAATACTGCAAGGAAAATTGTTCAATAGCTGAGTCAAGGATATTGATCTTTAGCTCACGAGTGTGATCTTTCATAGGGGAGATTTTTCTCAACTTCAAAAGGCAGCACAGCCCTGACCAGGCGATGACTGATAAGGACCTGAGACTGCAGTCCCAGGGCTGGTACCTGCCTCTGCCACTGGCTGCTGTGTGACCCTCCGTGATGGGTTTTTCCTTCCTAGGACGAGTCTGAAATGAACCTCCTGCGTGAAGCTAGAAAAAGCTCATTATAGTTGCTCTCTGCATCTGAGGCTTTTTCTTCCCTGTTGAAAAAGGGAAGTAGCAGCCATAGCACGGGGTGGGTTGTTGTTGCCATGGCATAGCTCATTCCAGCCCTAAAAAGCCTGTGCTCAGCAGCCTGGACATGAAAAATGGGAGCTGGTCACAAATTGCCTGTTGAGGTGACAGCTAGGAGAGCTGGAACAGCACAGCTGGGAGCAGGGCGGTAACAGCCCCTTTGTAGTCCGAACCTCCCGGCGTGAGCGGTTCTCCTGAGCTGGATCCAGCCCACATGTCGAGAAGCCAGGATTTTTGCTGTAGTACTCAGTTTCCATATCCTTCATGGCCAGCCTGTCAAGCCTGGGGTTTGGCCTCCAGGACTCCAGTAGCACAGTTTAAATACCCTTCACACACTAACTCTTATTCCTTAATTACAAGCTGTCAGGTGTGATCAGTCCTCTGCTACCTCATTTAGTAACAGGGAGGCTGGCCCTGATGCTCCCAAAGTGACAACGCCAAACACCAAGTTCATGGGCTAAACAGAGAGATTTTGCTAGGTCTCTTGATCTGTTCAACTTCTGCAGATCCCGATAGTTCCCCCCACTTTAAAGAAAGGGCGCTTCCTTAAAAAGTTTGTTATTGTTGTGAGGGAAACCGTTAAAATCAGAAGTAAATGCAGCACACTGTGCCTTCAGACAGCCTGAAGCAATAGCTCAGAGGTGGACCTGACTCATCGCAGCAGGATATTGACTCTGGAGCGTAATTATGATTCTTTGAGAACCTGATTTTAAGATAATTGAGGTATCAAATTATGCGCCTGGCTTTCACAGTTACTAGAGCGCTGTGTATAAATTGAATAACGGCCTGTACAAATGTGCCACTTGGCTATAGCAGAAAGAGCGGCGAGTCTGGAAATGTCCTGCATCACCATTGTTTTCCTCTTGCTGAGAGAAGCTGGCTGCAAGCTGAGTTTTGTAAACCACCTTGGGTTGCCACCAGTCCTGGTTGTGCAGCCGCGGGGGTTTGGCAAACCCGTGGAAAGTCCAGCTTGGTGGCTGGACAGCCGAAATCCAGCTGTTGAAGCGCTGGCTGCTTGCTAATCCCGGCACATGAGCATCTCCGTTCAAACACCTCTGGCTGTTTGTAGCAATGGGCTGTGTGTGGGTGTCAGGGCCACAGCTGGTGTTTTGACACCTGTTTTCCAAAGCTGTGTCGTGGCTCCCTTGCTTCCAGAAAGGCTTTCTCTTCTCTCTGTAGCTGCCATCATATCTGCAGTCAAATGCCTGTGTTTTGTTTGGACAATGCAGTAAGCGGTCTTGGTGAGCTTTGATTCTCTACAAAGTCCCAAGACTTTGGAAGGAGACCACTGTCCTCAGTCAGTTGTCTGAAAGCGTGATTTTGTCACCTCTATCCCACCTGGCATGGGTGGGATCTGAATTCCTCAAGATCTGAATCTGGTGAAAACCCACGTTTATCTTTCATGGTTTGCCACCTGGGCTCCACTGCTCTTCGAAGGGTTAGGGCAGGTTATTTTCAGCTCAAAGGCAGCCCAAGCTGTAAACTTATCGTGATTAATTTTTTTTTTTTTTTTAACCAGTCTACCTTAAAAAAGGCAAACAGGTCAGCTTTGCTCTCTTTGTGCCTCCTTCAGGGTCAGGCCGCTGATCCCATGTGCCTTTTCCTGCTGGCCCCCTCGATTTGAGGTTGCAATTTGGTTATTGCTGTTGCCCAGTGTGGTTCCAGGGTTGTTTTCTACCCAGCTTTTGGGTTGCAGTAGCTGGAGGAGTTTTTGGGAGTGTTGCCTTTCCAACAAGCACATCATCAGGACCTGCTGCTGCCTGGGGACCTGTAGGCTGAGCCAAAACACTGCTTTTAAACATTGACCACAGGGAAGTAGAAACCTGAAGGGGATCTTGACAGCAAAACCTTGGCTCTGGTAGAAGCCGAGCAGGAAGCTGGACCAGGAGCCCCTGCTGCGGCCAGGCGTGGTCTGCGCCCTGGGTGCTTCGAGGCCGCTGCTGGTGGCTGCTGCTGTGCCTGCTCGGGGCCGAAATGGTTGCGTTTTTTAGTCTGTAATAAAATAAGCCCTCTTGTGTCTTGGCTGTCTGAATTATTACCTGCCTAGCACTTCATTATAAACACATTTTTTTCCATTTTAGTACTGGTTTCCTGCCATTTTATTGCTTTTAAGGTTCTATTTTTTGTTTTATTCATCTC